TTTGGTAAATTTTTTCAATGTCAATCATTCATAGAATTTCAAAATTTAAATCTATAAAAAGATGGAATTTTTTCAAAATCCAAAGTCTGTGACAAATGAACCAGTTAAGAGCAATTTTTTTTTTTGATTGATTAACAATCAAACAACGTTTGGGTTATATTATATTGTCAGAAATTTTAAAATTAAAAGATTTCAAATTGCAAATGATTTTGCATGGATGAATTTATTAATGAATTACGATACGATTCGTAAAGATAATTTTGCAAAATATGAAACTATCAAAAGTTGGGTTTTCGTTACTTTTTTGTGTTATTGAAATTACCTGAACATTGAATGGCTAGGAAATAGGAAACTGCTCATGATTTAGAGATGAAATGAGTGACAACAGCTGAAATCTTGCCGGAATTTGAAAAAGTGCTTTTAATAACTTTGACGTGGAGCTTCTGAAGCAAAAAAGACGGATAAATAAGAAAGGCTCATCTTATTAAATTAAATGATGAAAAATTGCTGTTAATTTTTACAAAACAGACACGGGAATAGATGAAATGCTTTTGCTGTAATTGCATTTGTATGACTCATCAATCATATTAAATTAGATTTCATTTTACTAAATGATGCTTGTCGTTGCATGCATTTAAAATCTGATGGCAATTTATTTTATTGTTACATTTCTAAGCAAATTATCACTTTCTCTCATCGACATTTCATAAATCAATTGATTGATTTTACATTTATCATCCTTTTTTTTTATTTTTTAAATCATTTTTTTTAGAGCGATAATTGAAGTTCCTCGAATACTCAATTGTTGGCTGATGGATACTATTATAAAATTTGATGGACATTATTCTGAAATTGGTAATATTGCACAAAAAATAGGCACACACACACACACACACACACACACACACACACACACACACACACACACACACACACACATAACCCACCTAAAATTAATATTTATTATTAATTTTCCGTTAGTTGTTGCGCGAACTGTTTTTGAATATTTTTCTATTTGGTCAAAATCGACGTAACTTTTCTTAGCACTTTTTTCAATTAAAATTTTGAATGTACAGACTGCTGAGCTGAAGACTGAAATTTATTTACGTATTTCGTCATGAAATCTCATTTAAACTGTTTGTCGCGACAACAATTAGGAAAATATCGCAGAATGCTAATTTCAAAAACATCGTAGCACAATGTGCAAAAATGTTTAAGTGATTGAAATTAGTATTGGAATGAAATGATTACACTGATATAGATAATTAAGCTTCGGACGATAATTAAGTATGCATAATTAGACTCCCAAATGAACTTATTTTTCAGTAGCATGTAAACTACTACACCTGCAATGTTTATATTTGTGTTAAAATTAAAAAAAAAGTCTAACGTTTGTGTTTGCATGTTTTTGGTGCAATTAAAACATAACATGAAATTAAAGACAGATATTATTTGAAATATTTCTTTAAATACAAAAAATTGCACACGTTTCTTGTTTTGTTTGAAATTTTAATTCGATTGCATACTAAACGCAAATTTCCTATTTATCATATATAATGATCTCATGATTTTTTGTTTTAGTTTTTTTTTTTTTCATTCACGAAATTCTAATTGAATAATTCTTTTTTTTCAATTCCTGTAAATTAGTTAAATAATATGGATTATTACGTCATTTATAATAGCTAATCTATTAGCTTCGTTCTTATGGTGCGATTACTTCGGATAACCGAAATGCTCTGTAGTTTTTTCCGGAATTATTCTCAGTTCTAAATCCATCATTTACCATCATCTCAACAAATAATTGCTCTCATTTGTTTTCATATTGTTTACTTCTTTTCTTTCCAAAATTTACTGATAAAACATAATGATATTTACATATTTTTTGGTAATGTTATTTAAGAATGGAGACGATCACTTTCAATATTTAAATATTTTTTTGCAAATTTTTTAAATTTAATGAATGTGTCACTTCTCATGAATGATAAGCACATCATTCTGTTGCTTATAGTTGAAATGGAAATATTTGATTATCACACTTTCTAATATACCTTTTATGCGAATAATAGTTATGTGAGATTTATCAGTATAGCTTATCATTTAATTGATTTGTATAAAGAGAAAAAAATGTTTGGACAGTAATAGCGAATGGCTTACACAAACAAAAATTTCTCGACATTTCTGATCACTTATATGATCTATGATCGAATTGATATTGAATAAACATTGGGAGTGAAATTTTCATTTTTTTTTGAGTTATCGCTTTGAAAAAGACAAACAAGTAAGCAATGTATTGTTTAATTATATACTTTATTAGCTGAAACGCAGCTTTTTATTTAAATTCCTCTTCTCCAAGCGTTTCATTTTTTGTTCCTTCCTATTAAATTGAAGAAATTCTGTTCAGTGAATCTTTGATATTATTTTTTCGAAATATTCATTTATTGCTATTAATTTTTTAAGTGATTTGGGTGATTTTTTTAACAAAATGAAATACATATCAAAGTAATAGGGTAATAAAGTAAGAGAAGGAGAAAAGAAAGTAGAAGTCAGATTAATAAATTGATGATTTCGCTAAGATAAAGGCGATAAAATTAAGCCTAAAGTTGAATTGATAATAAGCAATGAATTGGTATATTGATAATAAGTGTTCAATTATTTAAAAACAGTCACAATTTGGTGATTCGCTGATAAAGGGAAAATATTTTTCCAATAAAATTGTGGAGTACTTGTTTACTCAATTACTCATTTCTTCCGTTAAATGTCTGAATTTTCGAATTAAATGTTAACAATCAAGAATACTATTCTTATCTGCATAGTTTATTATTTACTTTTGTGTTTAGTGATATGTTGTTATTACTTGTTTTGTTTTTTTTGGTAACAAGTTTTATTGTTATCTTTCCTTTGGTAATAAATTTTTATGCTTTTCCACTCCTTTTAGTTTTTTTTAGTTCTTTTAGCGAAAATTTTTTTTACTTCTTTTTGCTTTTTGAATTTTTAATTTGAAATTTTAATTTTAGTTGAAGATTTATGGAGAATTATATGCTTTATTTCAAATTCACTTTTTGTTTTCCTTTATAAGCAAAATAAATCAACAGAAATGATTACACGACTAATATAGCGATGGTCTGGATCGATTGCAATCCGGTTTAGATATTGATCAGTAAATATATTGTATTAATTGCTTGATCTTGATGTTATCAGCTAATTCCTCTTCTTGTTTACACATTTATTTAGTTAGCCGCTTTTATTTAAATTTTTGTTTTGTTTGAATGATTGTGAAATTTTTTTTCCTTGTAACAAATTAATTTTAGGAGTTTGATGTAAGAAAATGCATAATGTTGTGATTTTAAAATCATCATTTAAATATATTTTTACTTTATATTGTTTATTATTCAGTTCGCTATTTCTATTTTTCAACAAATTTTGCATTTGAACTTAGCAAGAAAAAGTTCGAAAACATCTGTTCCACTTCTCCTATCATCTCTTTGAATTCATTCGTCTCTCTCTCTTCAATTTCCATCATTCCATCCCATCATTACTTTCTTTAACTATTCTATAAAATTTTAAAATTATCTTCAATGTTCAAAAAGCTCTTTTATTTATTCCAAATATTATTGTCCAGGAAATATTTTGAGCAAAAAATAAATTTATGATTTGCTCAATTTCCTCTAAGAAAAAAACTGATCATTTCTTTTCAAATCAATTTTTCTTTCTTTTTTTGAAATTATTTGATCGACAGTATGTATTCGTTTTCGTTTTCATTTTTTTTCCCAGCTCATTTAATTAAATTACAGATCCTGTATAATTTGACTTTTGCAAAAAATGAATGAATTTGATGCTATTATTTCAAAGCATCCACGTTTTCTACACTTTTGCATTTGGAAGGAAACGGTTGTCAGTTACAAGTGTCGCAAAAGATATAAATATATTCAAATTGGGTGAATTTATTAAGCGAATAAAATGTCAAATTTTAAATTAATTAAAGTTAAGAGCATTTTCGAGTAATTTTGACTAATATTGTCCATAATTTCAACTAATATTGGAATGAATTCAATTTTGTTTTCTCTCGTTTCAAATAGCGTAAAATTTTACAAACGTACGCCCATCCATTCAATCATATTGTTATGTTGTCTTTCGCCTCCTTTGACCTTTTTGTCAATTATGAATATAAAGAAGGATTCATTTGGAAAAGTTAGAAATTTGTTATTATTGCATTATTGTAGTGAAAATGAATTTAAAAAAGGAAAAAGCACAGTAACACAATGTTGTCTATCTTAGAAGTGCTAAATTTAAGTTCGAAAATTTTTCTTTTTGAAACTTCAATTTGAAATTTCATATGAATTATGCATCATTTTTGTTATTTTCATGCCATAGAAAAGAAGCAATTATAATAATTTCAGTAATCATATTCATTCATTCATTCATTCATTCATTTTCTTTAGGCACATTCGATGCAAAAGCAAAATACTTGCCACATGACAGTGATATTCCAACTTATTTCTAAATATTCGACTTATAATAATTTATTTTCCTCCCAATAACTGATAATAAATAATGTTTTAGATTAATTTTCTTTATTGAAGCGACCGACCTTCAGAAAGTTCTTTTGCCATTTCCTTTCTTTTGTTCTAATGCCGTTCCGTTGATATCATCAGTTTTGTGTTGATAATATCGTTATATATTAATAATTAAAACTATGGCTTAGCTGATCTTTCTAAAAAAAATTTCTTGATTATTTAAATAGGCTTGTAAAGAGTTTTATAAATCTCAAAACTGTAATTCAAAAGTGGATTTTTGGAAATTGAAATTCTTTAATTCTTTAGAATCTCTAATTCTGAATTTCCTTTTAAATTCACTGCAATTAGGTTTTTCCCAAGATAAGATGAGATTAAAATGGCCTTTATTTTGCGTAAAAATTCGTATATGAAATTCGTTTTGAAATCTACTCATTTTTATCATAGTAAAATTGCAATTTTAGATTTCTCGGCTATACAAAATTTAGGATGACGGACGTGGAATTGGAAACACGTAATTTTTTGCGCGAACTCGACACATTCGGACAGCCGCCGCCACCACAACGTCTTATCAGTGATGCTGACAGTAAAGCGATGAGCAAAGAATTCGAACTAAAATTACATCACATTAACTTAGAGAAACAAAAGGCATGCTATGCTTTCATAAATTCATTCTCTAAAAAGGAAAAAAATAGTGAATTTTGAAGTATAGATTAAAATTGGATATTGAAAGGGCTTTAATAATTCACCAAAGAGAACACTCTTAGAAGAAAAAGCAATTCTTTAGAGTTGAACTTTTTTACACTTTTTTAAAATTCTGTTACTAGTGTCAAGATTAGGTTTGAAAATTTATTTTCGATATGAAATTTCCTTAATTTTTTAAAAAATGTAACCACCAATCTGAAGTTTATATTAATAATTTTTAACAAATACAATTATTTTTTGCATTTGCAGCATGTACGAAGTGGTACGTGGAATTCGAAACCAGGAACATCTTTTAACAATAAAAGTTCTATTAAAAAAAACAGTAACGATAATGCTTATTTACCTGCTGAAAGTAACAACAAAAATGAAATGAGTAAAGAAGAAATTAGCAAACTTAAGGAACAGGTGATCATTTCGAGTCAGTAGTTAGTTCAATTTTTATTACGTTGAATTTAATTTATCCATGCATCGTATAAAATTACAAACTTTTTAAACAAAGCGCAAAAATTTGTGAACATGGAGTTTAAATTCCAGGTGGTGTCAGCTTGTCGTCCGTTAAATCCGTGGTACGAACATCAACATCAATCGCCAACTTTATCCGCAAATTTTGTCCGAAGTACTATTCGGAAAGGTTTAAATACTGATGAGAAGTGTTTATCATCGATCGCTACAAAAACCCCAATACAGTATCATCATATCAATGTGGCTACCGTATCCGGCGAAAATACTGTAAATAGCATAGTAAGTGCGAAAAAATCAAATTACACCCAGAACACAGCTTCTATAAGTCCAGCAAGTGCTTCCAGTAACACAGAAACTTCACATTCATCGATTTCGACCAATGGATACAGTACAGTATGTTTCAATATTCTACATGGATGCATCAGAAACTGTAGAATATGGTCATTTAAAAATCTATTCAAAATTTAACTCATTTTTCTTGGTAGATTTTTTCTTCCCCAAAATAAACTAATATTGGCCGGTTTTTTATTTAATTTTTATTTCAAAGCATCGTTTTTTTAAGACAAACTCGACTGATCCAAACGATGACATCTATCGAGCAACACCGTATTCTGCTAATAATCGTTTTCATTCTCTCATTTCACCAGCCAAAACATACTATCACAGCGGACCACCGATTCGGCGAATATCTCGGGTCCCTCCTTATTATTTTCCAAGATTATTTTTCGAATTTTCAATTGAAATAATTTGAAAATGAAAGATAAATATCGTTATAAGTAACATTAATACTGCAATAATTAGTAACATCGCTTTTTCATCTTGAAAATTTTTTAAGTTAATGTGGCACAATATTTGATGTAATACGTCAATAGAACTTATCAAATTCTATTGATCATATTTTGATGAATTTTTTGCATTTTGTGAATAAAATCAAAATTGAGCGAACATTAAGAAGTGTTTCCTTTTGGAAAATTACTCTTCCAAAAAAAAGGAAAAAATTTCAGAATTGCAATTTCTGGCAAAATTAATGCTACAAAAAAAATCGAATTTCAGAATTCGGTTAATGAATCAGGTATCGATCGATGTGAAAGGTTCTTGGGGAATGAAAATACTACAAAGAAAAACATAAATAATGTACATCTAAATGGTATTTTTTTTTTAACTTATCAAATTCTATTGATCATATTTTGATGAATTTTGTATGATTTTATAAATAAAATCAAAATTATGCTAATATTTAGAAGTGTTTCCTTTCAAGAAGGGAAATTTCAGCAAATCAACAATCTCTTACAACAACCATTCCTAACAAATATGATGATAAACAGTTGAAAAACAATTCGAACGTAATACCACCATGGCGAAAAAAAAGTATGGATTCGGTGACATCCACCGATTCTGGCGTATCAGTGCAGCGTAAAAAGTATGATGAAATGACTAACAATTTGGAAAAACAATTGAATTTGAATCGCAAACCAATTGGTATCTGTGAATTATGTGGTAAAGCGATATTGGAAGAAATTGATGTTACCTGCGCACTTGGCCAATTATATCATCAGAACTGTTTTACTTGTGATATGTGTGGACGAACTTTACGAGGAAAAAAATTTTATGAAGTAGATTATTATTTGATAGCAAAATATTTCATTTATTACATTTTGCACAAAAGATGGATATTTTTGAAAATTTAAATTTGATAATGCTATAAAATTCACAATAATGAATGTATATATATAAGAATTTACTCAATTTTAATCAGATTTCCAATATTAAAGTTATTCTGTTTTTGATAAATTCGAATTTTTTTCTGAATGCGATAAAATTTGATATAATTTAAATTGCTTTAATTAACAAATTTGAAACTCTGTTTTTTAGACTCGAGGGAAAAAGTATTGCGAAGAAGATTACCTGTATAGTGGAATGCATGAAAATGCAGAGCGATGCGCTGCATGCTCGCATCTTATTATGGATATGGTAGTATATTTCATTTGATCATTATAATGTTGATTTCAGCGTTCAGAATCATTGCTGTGATAATTACTTTAAGAAGTGAAATTTGCATAAGTGAATTTAAGCTAATTTCTCTAACAAATAAAGACGAAAATTTTTAAAATTTAAAACATGTCATGTGAAAGATAGGATAAACAAGTAACTTAATGAGAGGGACTGACAGAATTTCTTCTATCATTTTATTTCGAATTTCTTGAGAAAAATTTGATAGGTTCTGCAAGCACTTGGAAAATCATATCATCCGCGATGTTTCCGCTGTGAGAAATGCAAAAGTTGTTTGGATGGTGTTCCGTTTGCTTTGGATTCGGAAGGTCGTGTGTACTGCACCGAAGATTATCACAGAATTTTTGCGCCGAAATGCGCTGCATGTTTACAATCAATTATGCCTAATAAGGTATTTTCTGAAATATTTTCATTGTGAATTTCTTGTAAATTAATATAGTGTAATGTACAGGAATTAAACGGCAATCAAAATATCTCTCTTTCATAATCTCGATAAAAATAATTTATTGTTGAAAACTTTTTCTTCCATTTTCAGGAAACCGGAGAGACAGTCCATGTTGTTGCAATTAATCGGGATTATCATATCGAATGTTACGTTTGTAAGGTAATAATTTTTCAATTGTGCAGTTATATAATTGCTGTCTAATCGCCAAATTGCTATTTTACATTTTTATTAATTTTTGAAGAAAATCCTTCCTTTTAGGAATCTTGATAATAACTACTATTTGATTTCTCTAATCATTTGATACGAAATACTTTTTCATCCAATCAAAAGAAGTTTTAAAAAAATGGTTTATATTTTAATTTTAGTTCTCATTTATTTTTTTATTTCATTTCCAATTTTATTATCGCAGGGTTGTGGCATGCAGCTAACCGATGAACCGGAAAAACGTTGCTATCCATTAAACGATCAGCTCCTGTGTAAAAGTTGTCATATACATTGGGTACGAACCGGTGGCGATTCAAAACCGATTACTGATTTGTGAAATATATTGAAAATTTTAATTTGTATTTTTTTAATTTATTTGAAATCATATTTGAAGATGAATGTTACTTTATTATCGGTATCATGTGATTGATTGAGTGCTTTCGATAGCTTCTAGAACAATCGATAAAATTCCATTCGGTAGTGGAAAATTATTTTTATTGGTGTTAAAAATAAGACAAGAAATTTAAATTTAATTTTGCATTCTTATTCCTTGCACGCAATTTGTTTTGCTATTTTTTCCTTATCAATATTATGAATTGTGCTAACATTTGTCACTTATATTTTGTTGTTAAGTAAAATCTAAATATCAGCATGAATTTCACGTTTATTACATGGTAGATGCTATCTACAAAACTCCATGCCATCACGTACGCACCGAAATATCTGAGATGAAGCATCTCTAAATCGCCACTTCAATAAAAGTTCAATACAAATGAACTTTACTGCTTTTTGTGGCACATGGATCTCATACGTGGATTTATTGTTTCTTCAAGTACCATCTGAATCGATGAAAGCGTCATTTTACGCAGCATATTAGCAAACTCAAATTAAATTTCGAAATACAAATCTGTTTGCGTCATAAAATAATCGATACGAAAGAAGCAAAATTTTTTAGTTACATATTTTTGTATCCTATTGCTGTATTATTCGAGATAAATCATCTAACGTTGATTAGAAATTAAGAATTGATAAAGCAAACAATTGTAATAAATGAAAAATGTAAAATTTCAAATTCCCTTTCCAATCTTCTCTTTATCGGATCGTATTGTAAGCAAACAAAATAAATCTTAAAACAATGAAATGAAATAGTTAACTATCATTTCATTTTATTTACTCCCAACTGCCTAACTTTGTAATGTAAAATACGATAAGCACCTACCAAGGAATCATCAAATTCCGTCAATGGTTTAATTGATTTTATTTGGTTTAATTGATTGCAGCCTGCTGGGATAAGAGAATACGGATAGGCATCCTGTCGCTAACAGATCGCAACCTATTGGAGTACGGACAGGCATCCGGTCGCCAACAGATCGCAACCTATTAGAATAAGAGAATACGGATAGGCATCCTGTCAGTTTCGTGATATTCGATCTATTTCCGTGTAGGTATGCTGGCTATTCAGCAGTTCTCCATGATTATTTAGTTATTTATTGAAGTACATCTTTCTGTCGCTATTCTATCGTCGATTCCGGAAAGCATCCAAGATGTTTAGTCAACGAATGAGACCATAATTTTCATAGAATATACATTGCGACCGTGTGTAATGGTGTGCAATGGCCAAATCTTTCCGGTAAAGGGATTGTGGTCGTGTGTTTATCCGTTGTTTGATTCCGGTGGGCGATTACTTTGCACTAATAAAATATTTAATTAGGAAAGATGACAGCCTTCGAAGAATTGGGTATGTTACCGGAGTTGGGCAGAGCAGTGGACGAAATGGAGTGGACGTTAGTTTTCTAACGTTGTTTCAGTTTTTTTTTCCATTCATCATTTACCCTTGAATTTTCACGATATATCCATTAAAAATTTGAAAATTGAATAGAAATAAATAAAACTTTTATTTGCTCGTAGACAAAGTTTAAAATCTTCCGTCGAAAATATAAAATAAAGGTGGAAAAAATTTCAAATTCCTGCATGAAGAAATCTTCTAATTGAAAATTAGGCATTTATCTGCATACGAGACAAGATTATAGAAAAGATTTGCAGTTTGGAGATAAAGTGCATATTGTTATATACAGCACACGTTAATAATGTTTAGCATCATTCATAGACGTTAACTGCGAAGTAATATTGTCCTTAGCTGTCCATAACTTCATTTCAATTAGGTGCAAATATTTAATTAGTAAGTTTTTATTAATATTTGATCTCTTACTGCTGTTTGTAACTTAGATTTGTTGATATTTCAGGTTGCCTACAGATATTCAGTCCGAAGCAATTCCTGCAATTCTTGGCGGTGGTGATGTACTTATGGTATGTTTTTTGTCTGTTAATTTCACTTTATGAAGTGTCTAAGAAATTGAAGAATCAAATACTAACACTAAACATTATATGATTGTAGTCATTCAGGCAGCGGAAACAGGAAGTGGCAAGACAGGCGCATTTTGTCTTCCTGTACTGCAAATCGTTTGGGAATCATTACGTGATTCTATGTTGGGTAAAGCTCATAAATCGACTAGTTGCATTGGTAACTTTATCCTTGTACTGATTTCTTTACATCGAAATACATATATTAGATTTAAGATTTACTGGAAAATCTGAAGAATTACTTACTTTGAACTGATGTCTTGCCATTAAATCTAAAGCTGTGGTCCTGAAATAAACCTAAAGTTATTAAGTATTCTTCACCGTTTTGGAATTAGAAAAAAAACTTTTTGTACGATTACCTGCAGCGCGTGATTCACGACTGTTTCTATGGCTGTTTGAAAAGCATCTTTAATCCACATTTGGCAATGGATTTAGTACACAGATATCATAGAACTTTAAAATATGCACTGAGACTTATAGCGTTTCAAGTTGTATTGTTCTTTAATTAACAAGAATGAAATGTGGATGACCAATGTATCTTAGTATTGCTTTTTAAAGACTCGTTTATAAATGTTGCAGATGAAAGATGGTGCTTGAATGTACATGATAGAGATAACAATCTTGCAATTGATCCGGAAGGCTTACTTTGTCAAAGTCGTGATCCAAAGGCGTGGAATGGAACACGTTGTACTCATGGTGTTGTTGGCAAAGGTTTTTTTTTTTTAAAAAAGCGAAAAATGATTGTTTTTTGTTAATATGATTTTTAGCACATTCAAGCACATATGCATCATTTGTGCAATTTAGCACTAAGCACTAATATATATACAAAAAAAATCTGTAAATATGACAGGGAAAAAGTTTTAAAAGTACATTTAAAATTTTGTAGGAAAATTCTACTATGAAGGGACAATTACTGATGATGGATTATGTCGTTTGGGATGGTCAACTGCCAATGCTGTTCTGGACTTAGGTATTCGTTTTTAATTCGTATTTCATTGTTGTTTGTCTAATTTATGAAGATTTGGAGTTATGTTACATTTAGTTTGTTGAATAGATTCTAGTAATTACGCTACCTTTCTTTCTCTACGCTATGCAAATTAACTAATTTTAACACTTATGCCTCTTACTTTACAGTTTTCCTTATTTATAATCAGTAATGAAATAAGTTTTGAAACCAGCAAATGAACAAAAATAATTTAATTATTCCAGAGTTCTTAAGCTGAGAATCTATTTAATCAAAATCATGTTTTCCTTTTCTATTACTGAAAATTTATTTCATATATTTTGTATAACTTTTAGCTAAGGATGACAATTTTTAATTTTTATGCAGTTTTTAAGGTACTGATAAAAATAGTTTTGGTTATGGTGGAACAGGAAAAAAAAGTTACAACAGACAGTTTGATAATTATGGTACTTCGTTCACATTGGGTGATACAATTGGTTGTATGTTGGATTTGGATAATGGGACAATTGCTTTTTCAAAAAACGGCCAGCATTTAGGGAAAGCTTTTGACATTCCAGAAACATTGCGGAATACAGCACTGTATCCTGCTGTAGTTCTGAAGGTAAGGATGCAGTTTTTCTGTACTTAAAACCATAACTTGTTTTCATGATGTTCTCAAGAATATTCAGCTTCTTTTTTTACGAGAATTCAACGTTTTGTCTGAGGAAGCATATTCTCTATTTTTAGACATTCGAACACTATCTTGGATTTATGCATCATATGAAAAATTAAGATGATCTTAATCATCCTTGAATTTTTTAATCATATTCCTTAATCATGCTCTTGATCATAGTCTGAAATATTTAGGATCACTCTTCATTCATTTCTGGTATTCACAGAATTATTGATTTCAAATCATTAAATATTTTATATCACCGTTGAAATTATATCTTTTTATTATAGAATGCTGAAATTCGGTTCAATTTTGGTGAAACAGAATTCAAACATCTTTCTCAGGTTTGTGATAGTAGCTGTTATGAATTTTTAAAACAATCGTGAGTAATTTTAAGAAACTGAAAACACAAACCAGTTCAATTGCTTTTATCATACTTGCTATTGTTTAGCAAGTCAAAGTTTTAGAAAATTTAAGAATTTCGAAATGCTAGTTATATACATCTCATCTAGTCAATTGATACTCCGAAATTCAGGGCTATGTAGCAGTCTGCAAGGCATTGCCAGAAAATTCTGTTCTTTCACCTCATGGCTCAAGCATTAATGAATTGAAAAAAACAACGGAACCAAATGCACCAGCTTGTATCATACTTGAACCTACCAAGGAATTGGCGGAGCAAACAGACGGTCAGTTGAAAACCTTCAAAAAGTATCTTAAGGAGCCAACTATCAGGTGATGATTTAAGTAATAAATTTTTTCCCACTTTATTTACTGTCTGGTGGATTATAAATTCATATTTGAAGTATTACCCAGAATATCAACAATTTTGTAGTGTCGGATCAGAGTAAAATATTCCTGAAAGCTGGTAAAAATATTCTATCGTTTTAGAATTATGTTAGTGTTTTGGTTTCTACTAGAGTTATCAGCTTCAACAAAGGTGATAAATTAATATAGTCATTCTATTATGAAGAGAATTATATTTAGCTTACAATAATTGTACTTAAAGTACTTACTCTTAAAAATATCATCTGAATGCATTGCTCGGATGATACTAATAATTTCCATTATCCTGTTATGTCAGAGATGTTGCAGGAATGCACTTGTCATAGGCAGCATCCCAGTGAATGAGCAGTTAGGAATTATCATGTCAGGCATAGATATAATTACGTGTACACCAGGAAGACTGGAAGATTTCATCCAAAGTGGCAAGATTTTGCTGTCAAATGTTCGGTTCTTCATTCTAGATGAAGCCGTAAGTATATATTACTTCTATCACCTATTTTAATATATAAACTATGGTGTGCTTACGATTATATCACTTTTCTTATTTCATTTCGGCTCAAATTGTTCATACTGTGCT